TATCATGCTAACTAGATACTGGTCTGTATCACAACAAGGTCACCTTCAGCCTCATTCAAAATCAAAAGCTTGGCAACTAAGTATACAATTGTGAAATGGCCCTTTATCCAGTTTAGATTGTAAAACTTCGAATAAGTGTAACTCACTTCTCATGTATTATTAATAAGTTAAATCTTTTAGCACTTTTTTGACTGGTTTGGCACAATGGATATAAATCAAAGTCGGGGACAAATAAGAACTACATTGATACAGAATCGAATAGCAATGGATGTGTAGCAAAGTTCCACGCTTTGTATTTTGGCGGAAGACAATTTACAAAAAACGTTTCTGAAATGCTCTTGATTTTATGTGTTTCATTTATACACCAAAGTTATGTTTATGTTTCGCATATGATGTGTCCTTAAGAGTTCGCAAAAATGTATCGCTAAAACATGAAAATTATCGTCGCACATCGTGGGGGTGGGTTGATTGTGGAGTATTTTGCTCTTCGCATAATCAAGTTTTTCACTCACTGATTACGTAATATGTTTATTTTGTAGCTCAGTTATGTAACTGAACATATTATTGCATATTATCAAGAAAAGATTTGTCTTCACGTCGTATTTCAACATATTACCCGCGGAACCTAACAAGAACACTGTACAGGAATAAAAAAAGATTAAGAAAAACAACCATTTTTTTTATGAATTGGAAACGATAAGGACACTGTTTTTTTCTCCTTTCAACGACTTTTCAGGCACGAATTTGACCAGATTTAAGTGATGTCGGCAAAGTACTTGGTGAAGGTTTTTCTTTTGCAGTGAGAGATGACGAGAGATTGTTATCAGCAGAGTTGGTTGTAAATGATTTCTCCTAAGATAGTTTCCGTTTGAAGGCGTGTCTCAGAAGTGACATTTGCACCATCTTTCGCCTTTGAAGTGTACTATTTTATTGGGCTTAGATCTGGGACACGCTCGTGAGCTAAGAGCGGCTGGAGAATTTGCTTTAGGAATAGATATGGAGGGGCCCGTCAGCTTCTTATCTGTGATAGATACCTGTAAGAATAATACGCTCTATGTTAAACCAATCTGAGATTGAAAATGTTAAATAACTGTTGAGGTGATACAGCTAAGATATGCATGGTACTTACTTCTTCCTCTAAAGGCGGTTGTTTTTCGTCAGTTTTGATATCAGTGGATGCATATTGAACCTTCCTTCTTGAATCACATTTTCTCGCCTCTTCCATCGTTGTCTTAATGGTCAGGTATCGTTCCTTGCTTCTTTTCATCGCTTGAAAAGCAGTTTTCCAGAGGTGTTTTTCAGGACACCAGTTGACAGGAATAGATTGTTGTGATTTCACTTGTGATTCAGCAGGACCTCCTAGGCCTATTTTAACCTCTTTACAAGGTGCTTGTAGCGTCTTACACGGAGATTCTCCCGAACTTTTGACAGAAGCTGTATCCTTGAGATCAGTCATGTGAAGTTTCCCAGGCCCTATACCATAGCCATGATGGTACACGCTGCCGTTTTGATGTGAAGTCGATGAAGATATCATGCAATATCCATCTTCTATGTTTATCACGACCTCCTCTCTCGGTACAACTGGCAAGTCGCTATATTCTTTAGATGATTCAGCCTCAGTTACGTTCAAAGAATTAAAACCAGCCTCTTCAGAATGTTTTTGATAACTTAGCAATTGCACGTTTGGCGAAAAGGAGAACGAGAACTTTATTTTTTTATCTTCTAGCACATCCACCACAACTTTGTTCCATGGAATCATCGGCATATTATAAGATTCTTCTGAAAACCTCACATCTCTCTCGTCCAACAGGATTTTAGATTCGTTTAGAAATTCCTTCAGAGATGCCTGAGATGTTCCCGAATCTTTTGATTGGCATTCATCTCCCTTCGCCTGAATCGTCAGAGAACTTGCCTTGTCTGTCATCACATTTGGTCTTGTTTCTTGACAAGTTGCCCGTGTCCCATTATGTTCCTCGAAGAGAAACAAAGTTCCCTTCTCTGATCCTGCTTGGCTTGCAGAAAGACAGTTCAGCGACGCATTCGAGGAAGTCGAGCTGCATGGCTCATTCGTGATCGGGAAAGTCCAATCTGCAGAGTTGTTGAAAAGGTGTGAAAATCCAGTAACTGGGTAGTCTGTGGATTTGTTAGGCGTAGTAGGATCAGAGGGTTGGTCATTCTGGAAGGGAGTTGTTTTAGGTTCAGAATCTTGGTAAGGCTTCACCATCACTAACTTCGTTTTGTAATTGATTTCACCGTCACTAAGATCTCCATCCAGACTAGTAGTTCTTGTTACTTCAGCTAGTTGCGCTTCAGAATCAGCAGGCCTGACAAGATTACTTCTTTTCTGACATTTATTCCTGGGTAGGACGAGAACACGAAAAAAATAATAAGTATCGAGAAGGTTAATATTTAGTGTCTGGGTTGATAAGAATCGAGCACACAAAGTTTTCATGATTGTACTTAGTAAATTTATAAATGTATCTTGATTTTGTTCCGTATATTTCTACATTTTTCTCCTCTAATACATTGGATTTATTTCTTCTTTATTCTTAGCTTCAGTAAAAATAATATTTCGGTAGAGCGGGAATCTTGCTGAAGATATCATTGTATCCAATCCCAATTCAATCCCAAGCCCACCGCGATATCTTCACTCCGACCCGATATAAGAACAATAAGATCTCTCCAGCTGCCACGTATACGTTCTCCTTTTTTTAAAGGAGATTCCATTTACTTACAAAAAAATTACGTAATTTCTGTTTAGGCATGAAGCCATTTTCATTTGAAGCATCTCTACACAGTTTAAACCTCTTTATAGAGTGGACACTGACATTATTTTCTCTCAAATGTGAAAAAATCTTCTAGAATTGTCTTTGGACTTGCTGCTATCTCTAATAAAGGAACAATTTATCTCCCCTTAATCGAGAATGTACCTAACTCATTTAAACTTACCATATAAGGGCAATAACAGTAACAATGAAAGGAATGGCTAACACTCCTGCTAAGACACCGCCAACTACTGCAGCAGAACTTGCTTCTGTTTCATCTCCGGTTTTCGAATGAGATTTCTCACTTTTCGTTTTGACATGCTTTCCTTTTTCACCCGCGTGTAATTTTGGAGGATCTTGGAGGATTTTCCAATGCGGCCCTTTCGCTGCCTTCATTCTACGGCGAACGACTATTTTATTGTGAGTCATCGCTGACGTTTTTTTACGTAAGTGTGAAGCTCCGCTTTCTTGAACTCTATTGTTATCTTGTGGTAATGGTTCGCTTTTGTTGTTACTGTCAGCATGTCGTTTATCAGGCATTGACATGTCCTGTGATATAACCTCCGAGGAGAACGCATGCGTAGAAAAGGACACTTGATCTGTATCTTATCCAAGAACAATTGCGTAGTACCATCATTAGTGAATGTGAGTGAATGCAAAGAATAAGTTCAGGAAATCATATGATTGACACCAGTGCTATTTGTTACTTATGGGCAATGATCGTAGAGGGTTTTCATTAATTACACAAGTCTAAGGCGATTATAGAACCGGCTAACTTTCTTAATAACCTTTATCTGATCAATCTTATCTTAATCTTATTATACGAGATCTTTTTCCGGATAATTTGGCAACAACAGTCCTGAACACGTCTCAAAGCAGAGGAAACAACGAAGAGTTGCATGAGTGAATTAATTTGGCAATCCTTTGATGCATTGTGATAATTCTTTTATTTATCGAGCTTATTCCGTCAGGATGGCTGGCTGTTGGTCTCGTTCATATATACGTTTTCATGGACCTGGATTTCGTTTCAATCCATAAATAGTAGCAAACATCCAGCCATATCTACCTTGCACCTGGTCAATAACGCAAATTTAAGGACGATGCTGTTTAAAGATTTGAGTTGTACGCGTACAAATCGTTGACGCTCGTGACAAGACGAAAAACATCTTTCTCCATTTCTTTATCGAGTTCAAAACGTATCATCTCTTACTCTATTTTGATGCTATAGAAATAGACCTCGCTCACCATAGAGTATTTGTAGCTCAGTGGTAAAGCATCGGAACAGCGCGCGGAACCCGAAGGTCTGAGGTTCGATTCCTCATAGGACTCAGAATTTTTCTTTGTCCCACGCTTGTGACAAGACGAAAGACATCCTTCTCTTTTTCTTTACCGAGCCCTCCTGTTCTATTTACAAACAATGCTTAGTTTTCTTACCTTTACAAGATGCCGTTTCGAGTAACAGTAAACATTGAAAAAGAAAAACGATAAAAACTTTGTTCTTATTCATGACTCTGAGCTGTCTCGAAGGGTGGTAAGAAACAGCGCTCTCTCTTAGAGAGAAAATAATTTCTAATTGATGCGTCACAATGACAGCTCTTGCATCATTACTGGGCGTGCGCAAGAGCTATTCACGCGAAGAAAGGAGAAACACAAGGTGAGGACTGTGGAGAGTTAGGGGGCACAGATTAAGGCCCTGTTGAAGCCTGGGTTACAGTTTACCTGTGAGGACTTGTACATCACTCACCATCCGTATATCAAATCTATTTCGCTTCGTGTCACTCTCGTATAAAACACAGCGGGAAGGGAGAGAGCACCTATTTCAAGTATTGGTGAATAGGAAGGGCGTGTACTCGAAGGGAGGCAATAATTCCAGAATTTACGATATCTAGTCGTTCAAGGCGAGTGACGCGATGATTTACGCGAACAAATCACCAATACAACTCTTAGTTCGAGTACAGTATCATTCCATTCTCACCATTATATTACAAGCATCAGAGCAATAGCTGCAAACTAAACTTAAAAAAATAACAATTTTCTGACAAACGTGTAGTTCATGACGGTAACTATAGAGACCTAGAAGTAAAGCATTCGCGCAATCTTCGTTACTTGATATTTTGAACGTTACAGGAAGCAGGTAGGTTCCGTATGACAGCAACTTATACTGCAACGGTATCTCGTTGCAAAAACTTTACTTAAAATCAAGGGAAAGCTCAGACAATAAAGAGAATCCTGAAAAACACTTCTAACTCAGTTGTATTTAAATACATTGTTAATATCATATCGTGGTTAACTGATCCCTTCTTTGCATTCTCTTGGTTTTCTCTTCTCTTGTGGTCTTGATTACCAAATATGTGTATCTCTCACTTCACTAATAATGTGTCCTGCCCTCTGGAGCGCCTGCAAGGAAAAAGAACATTTAATCTTGTAAGAACCATCTCGAGAAGGAGAGTTGCCAAAATACGCGTACGCCGTACAATTTTCAAAATAGAATGGCAAAAACTGAACTGTTCCAAAATAAAACCAAACGCACGCCCCACTGTTTGGGTAAGTAGCGACCTATTGAGGAGTGTGTCATGCCCGTTTGCTTTCAAATTTGTATGTTTGTTTGTTACCTTGAGCATTTCCGCCGCCTCTTTCCTCTTGATATGCATCCGCTCTGCTTCCTCAAGAAGAATATTGAACATTTCATTCTGAAAAACAAGGTGAAATCATGTTGAAATTCTTCTTGTGTTATATCACGCCAAACGTCACTACATTACATAAACGCGAGGTCGAACGAGACTCGCGTTGTACTGACGTTTCACCACCATTGCGATTAGAACTGCACACTATTGCTACAACGATTTTTGATTGAGTGTGGTCAAAGCAAAAACAAAGTAATCCCAACAGTCAAACAGAAGGAGGAAAATATCGTTGAGAACCGATGTTCCCTTGAGCAATCACGTTTTCATCAAAAAGCTCTTACAAACACATGTGCCAAATTGTTTGTGCGATAAAAGTGCACTTAAGCGCGAAGAAAGTGTGATAAACGTGCAACAAAAGTGCGGAAAGTACGGTACAACTGTGGGGAAAGTGCGGTAAAGCTTTAGAAACTATTCATGCTCTAAACTCATTCACCTTGTAAAGTTTCTCTACCAGCTCACTCTGAATTCTCTCTTTGACAAAGTTTACCAAGAAGCACATTATAGCTTTAGGTACACTACAAAATAAAATTAAGAAAACGAGATTTAAAATAGTGGAGACGGAAAAGTATTAATAATAATAATAGATTATACATTTGAAAATCCAGATCTCGAGCTCGAACCATGAGACTTGTGACTACACCTCGTTACCCATCAGGCCACCGCGCCGCCCGCGTTGCTAAAAACATACCTGGAGAATTGTAGGTACTTCTACGCGAAGCACGGTGGAACTGTTATCTTATCCATGAACACAAGACAAGGATTTCGACCAGAGTTCCAAAGCAGAGACCAACATTCTCCCATTTGGCCACCATGTCAGAAGATGTTGCAAAAATCAGCCTTCTTTTTTCTTACCATTACCTCTTAGCACTTTAGTGGCCGCTAGGCTTATGGGGGAGCAAAAATACCTCCAAATAACACTGTAGTCAGCATCATGATTCATATGAACTCACCTATCTTGAATTGATTTCCTAACAATCATGAAGTACGACTTAATTAATCTCCCTAGAAAATAGTAAAAGAAAATTATAAGATGGGCCGTGTTCAACATGTCAGAGCGCAAGCCAGAAAAACCGGTACATTGGTTCACTTTCCTGCGTAGAATCAATACCAAAGGCAAACAAAGTTTCCTAACTTAGTTTGATTTATTTCATTTGGGTTATCTTTTCTTGAAATAAGTTTCTAACCGTAAACTTTCGTAGTTGTGCGATGTGACTTCGCCAAAACAGCAGTCAAAATGACAGAGTTAGTCGCTTTGAATTTATCCCCTAAAAGGAGTGAGCCAGTGAATTTTTGACTTCGTAACCTTAACCCAGTCTTCCTCGGTCGCAGCTTGTCTTCTGGAATGTGGGCCATTTACAGTTCATAGCAATAATTTAAAATTTTAGATAACTTAACCCGGACACATTATGACGCCAATCGGTCGACAGACGTGTAATTCTTTTTTTTTTTTTTATCATTATTATTATTTTTTTGATCATTGCTCTTGTATTGGTTGTTTAAGTGAGTCGGGTTGCAGTATTTTTACAATCCAGGGAAATCTTAATTGTAAAGTGTCAGCTTGTGTGAAGGTTAACTCACGGATTATTTCGGATTCCATTTGCTCTCGATCTGTTAATCCTCTCTGTCTGGAGGACAATGGTAAGGCCTGAAACAAAAATGATAACAAATGATATCAGTGTCTTAAAAAGGTTTGTGATAAATTCCTTTCACCTTTATGGATCGGCTGTTATATCAGTAACTTTATTTTATATGTAACAGTTGTTACTCACCAGTTCTTCCGTGGCTGATGACTGTGTCGCTCCAGTCACCGCACTTGTTTGGTCCAGGGCAGGCTGAGCACTATTGCCACGCATGCCGGGAATCCATGACGCAAAGCCTCCAACTGAGGACGAGGAAGCAGGGACTTTATCCACGGGAAGACTGGTAGCGGGAGACGCGTTAACACTGACATCGGGTCTGTGGAGCGGACTTGATTCAGGAGTGGAAGTCTGTGATCTGACACTCTAAAATAAAAATGGAGGTTTAGTTAAAAAGATTGGAAATAAACACAATTTTGTGGGGGAAAAGCGGAAAGAACAAAATATCAAACAAAACACTCAATTACACCTTACCTCTAAGGGTCCATTCACAAGATGGTTCGAGCGCGGTTTGCGCTCCTGGAAGAAAAAAAAGGTGACAAAACTTTCTCTTTATTTGTACGGAAATATAATGAACGTTAAAATCCAACACTTGGTCTGTCGCGAGTGGAAAGACGCACGAAAACTGCACATGCAGTAACACGCGTGACAGCAGGGCGAGATAGTCGCGGGTCACATTTCCGTACCTAGAGGGGTTGAAAATGCGACACCCTGAAGTGCATTTTTGAAAAGTTTTGTCGGGAGAAGTGATCTAATATTGTCTCGAGTGTTTGAGATGTCCTTTTAATCAAATGGTGGACCAGACAGAAATCAGATTGATAAGTCTAAGTCACTAAATTGAAAATTGAAGAACCAACTCACGGTTCTTCTTTAGTGAATCATGATAATTTAGACAGGTGGATCACTGAGCATTTATAACTACATCTCTAACCGTACCATTTCGTGATTCATCGCAATCGAGGAGAAAACCGAGGCACTGTCTGTGAAGTCCGGGTGATTTGTGTTGATGTAGGACAACTCGATTGCCACCAAGTTTTCTACCTACAATACAAGGAAGATACAGAACTTAATTTCTTGAGATTATTTATCCTTTTATAGAATGACATTTTAAAAGTCATGGAATCTGTGTGGTTGTATTCGTATGATGAAAAAAAAAATCCGGTTACCATTTCGTTCGTTGAGGGAAGTCGTCTAAGGAGAAGATTAGTCACCACTTCGACTATTCTATCATGAAGCTGTGGAAATCTCTTCACTTCTATTACCTACAGAAAAATGGGATCACAAGACTTAAAACGACAAATTACATTGACGATAATCCTTTGCACCCTGACCTCAGTGTGAATATTCTCCATACTGTTCTCTATACATTTCCTTTGGGAGCTGACAAGGAGAATTTGTTTGACAATTAAGAGCTCCTTTAGTTGGTGATCATTTCCTTTATTCTTGTAGCTACACACCACGGAGTTCGTCGCAAGGTAAACGTGTCTGCTAGTAATTTCTAACAAGCCTGGTGGAAAATAAGAGTGTTGCATCTCCTCACTGACGTGCTGGAACCCCAATTTCCCCCCCCCCCCTCCTCAAAAATCGGTCACGTTTCCCAAGCGGCCAAAGCCAGAAATTGTGCATCTGCCAACATTATTCACAATACCTGACTGAAGGCGTGCTGCACAATCCTTTGCATCTCCTCATGGACGAGCTCCACACATCGGAGACTGGGCTCTTCTAATCGACGTATCTGTCTCTTGACTAAAAGCTCAAATGAAATCTCCGGGACAAACAAGGCGGGCCGAGGACCCTGTGAGCGGGAAAAAAAAATTAAGATTTGAGGGAAACTCATGTCTAACTGATCTCATCAAACTGCGATCTTATTTCTTACCGTTGCGTTTCTAATGGCCGTCAGTATATCTTTTGTGGAAAGTCCTTCCAGGGCATCCATCTTTTGAAGTCTTTGGCCAAAGGTGTCGTGAAAAATGTAACATATCCTCGCTCCTCCACAACTGTTTTGGTATATAAAATCAAAAGAAAGTTAGATATTTTTAGCCTTCACTTATTTATCTAATTATTCACTTTTATTTCATGATTGTCTGCATTTCTTTTCCTTTTTATTTATCATTTATTTATCTGTGCATGTCACTTACAGCTCTGTTGTTTCAATATCACGAGCAGTTCCCTCGATGATGGCGCAGTATGCTGAGGCAAATCTTGTGATGAGCTGAAGAAGTACTGGGCCCTGTTAACACAAAGGCAAGAGTAACAATTAATTAATCGTTGCCTGACTTCTTTGCCAGAGTGATCAACGGAAATTGGTCTGAAAGAGCCTTACGTTTCATCTGTTCTGCGGGGCACATGTGGCTCGCTCCCAACGTCTGGGTTCGTAGCTCAGTCGGTATTATCGCCCAACTAACAGCGAGCTTTTGATCTGACTACGAGTACAAGTACGACTGCGAGATTTCCTCGCTAGGAGTAGTGCGCATGCTGTACTACGTGACAGGTCACGCAAACTCCCGTCACTAGTTACGAGTCTTTCAGGAAATCTCGTAATCGCACTACGAGTTGAAAGGTGAGTCAAAATTCTTCTCTTTCCAGATAAGACTTTTTCAGGAATACAAAAAAGAAAAGGCAGAGAATTGTAAAGAAGGTATTTTCAGTAAGACCTGACATCTATCTGTGAAGTGTTCTCTTGATTCTGAAAAAGCTACACTCTTGTGTGTAGCAAGTTACAAATTCGTCACGGCAGACAACGACTACGAGAGGTAATTTAGTGTTAACAACTGAGTTGAAAATGTAAATTAGCCACCGTAAAGGGTAAAAAAGCTGCCGTTTCGAGCGTTAGCCTTTCGTCAGAACGATTGGACGAAGGGCTAACGCTCGAAACATCAGCTTTTTTACCCTTTACGGTGGCTAATTTACGTTTTCAACTCAGTTGTTAACACTTAATTACCTGCTATACTCTCCCAACGACGCAGCACCACAGTTTCTTTAGAAACTTACCCCCCTTATTCATTTGACAACTACAAAAGACTAGTGCCACTCTACTCCCGGTAAAAACTCGTAGTCGAAGTCGTGCCCGTATCAAATCTAAAGCTCTCCAGTATCTGGGAGGCGAGGGTTCGGATTTCATCAAAGCCGCAATAGTTTTCGGTCCTCTTTCATACAGGTGCTTAAATTGCAGCTTACCAGCCAGGATCATTTCTTTACTTGATTTTCATCCACAGATCAAATGAACTTTATTTCATCAAACATTATTACGATACGATGAACCTTGTGAATTTGGAGGCAATCTTCGCAGTAATGAACACTACTTAAGCAGTAGTGAAAATAAGGCCTGAAATAATGATAATAATAAAAAAGCAGGCCCGTGCAGGCCTGGCCCCGGTTGTTCAAACGGTGGATAACGCTATCCACTGGATGAATCGTTATCAGATGGATAGCGCAGTACGTTTTGTTAACGGTTGCGTTATTCGCCCTCTGAACAACTAGGCTCTGAATTTTTTTTTCAGGCCTTATTTTTACTACTGCTTAAGAAGTGTTCATTACTGCGAAGATCGCTTCCAAATTCACTTCTTAAACCGTAGCTCATATACATCATTTTCATAAATTTACAGTCATTTGATATACCTTGTCTTCCACCGGTTCTCCGTAACTCTGTAGTAAATGCTGGTATTGTGATGTCATTGCATTGACACGTGACTTCAGGTCGGGAAGACAATTCCTAATATGGTGCATCAGAAGCTACAATGGAAATATAATTTCAGGTTTTGTTCATGAATACGCTCGTTTTGGAGAGCCTTGAATCTCTGACAAAATAATCAGAAACAAGTAATTTTGTTTTCGATCTCGCGCCTTCTTGATACCTTATTAAGTGTCCGCGCGAGGAATGGGGTCCCATTTCTGGATGCTAAAGCTGGATAGTTCTTTTGAAAGAATGACGCTTCATCTTTGAGGGCAGCATTGATAGTCTGCGGAGAGAAATAACACAAATTGAAAATCAAACAACCTGAAACAAAAATTAAAAATATAGTTACCTTAAATTCAAGTCATGCGAAGTGAAAAAAGGTAAAAAACTACTCATGCCACGACGCTTCAATTGTAGTTATTTGGAACCTCAAGCAAACCACGACAAGGGAAGGACGCCGGAAAACTGAATCGCTTAGCACGTACGTTTTAAAGCTTTGCACGTTTCTTAGCATGGTCTGAGGACGGAATTCCCGACGGCAAGTTATTTAGTTTCCATTTAGCAATCAACGCTGCTCACATATGTTATGCTGAAGTTGAGATGTGGCGCCATAAGAGACGGTAAACACATTCAGCCATTCGCGAAATTCTAACTACAAAAATATAAATTCATTTTTTAATTGACGTTTTCTTTGGCGTTGCCGTCGCGACTGCTTAAGGTACCTACAAATAGCGGTGTGTTAATCCAGCTTCGTAATATTTGTATCCCCTTTCAAAACTATTGAGTTTTCTTGGTTTGATCTGTACGTGCTCACCACGAGTAATTTCCTTAATACAGCAAAACCTGTGTCAGGTGGATACCCCACCCAGCCAGCCAACTATTACACAAGGAAGAAAATCATTATAAGCCCCTCTAATACCTTTCTGTTGTTTATATCTAACTGACTTCGATTCATGATACCAATTATCCCGAGCTTGACTGGAATAACTGGAAAACAAGAGAAAGAAAGAGAGAAAAGAGAAAAGTAATTAATATCTTATTAATATTAATCAATATTTATTATTAATTATAATTAATATTATATTAATAAAATCTAAAAACTTTCAAACTTGACGAAAAAAGGGACTTGGATGACAAATTTTGATATTTGATGATAAATGCTACTTTTTCCTTTACCTCTTCCAAACAAAATATCTAAAGCATCAGTTCCATGATCCATAAGGTCCAGCTTGGTACAAACGGCAAGTGTCCTGTTTCCTTGACAGAAATAAGGTGAAAATTTAACTATTCAGTTGATATTTTCATTTTAAATATGCATTTTGGCCTATACATATAAAACAACAGCATGGAATGGACACAGATGGGGTTGTTGAGAGGAAAAATGAGATGGAGTTCCAGCCTCTTCCCCACCCTCAACGTTCTACACTTTGGGTCTTAAGGCAAACAATAAAAACCAAAAAACCATAAGAACCAAAAAATAAGAACAGTAGAAACAAAACTCAAGACAAAACATCAGAGTCAATGAAATCGTACACCAATGCACACACTAAACATCCACCAATTAAAACAAACTTTCATTAGTAGTAAAATGCAACATAACAAGACTCATGATGTCAATCAGCCAATGTATTGTAAAATGGCCAATATAATTGGTCAGCGGTCTTACCATCTGGGTCAGCCTCTCGGGCAATCTTAATGGCTTCTGATGTAGCAAGGTCAATGTTCGCAGGTGTGACAGCAAGAATAATGCTGTTTGGATTACTGATGTATTGCAGGATAAGATGACGAATTTGGTGCTCAATATCTAGGGGCTGATCCCCAACAGGCACCTGTAGGAAAAATATTGAAAGTGAAGTCACCTCTATTTCCATAAGTGAAGCATAATTAAGTCAGCTTTTGAGTTAGATGGCTCATCCTGTTGCACCTTATCTTGCAATAAGCAGCATGAAGTGACATAGGGTTCTGGTACTCCCACCTGGATGGAATGCTACTACATTGCAGGTTTACCTATCCACCTTCACCCCCTTTTACCTCACCCAAGCTGTCAGATTTCTCTGACAGTTAGACAGTAGCCATTTGCATTCCTGGGTGCAGAGAGGCACTGTGAGTGTAAAGTGTCTCGCCCATGGGACACACTGCCCTGACAAGGACTTGAATAGCATGTGAGCAGACCCTCACCATTAGCATTCCTTTGCTGTCTGGAAGATTCAAGGAATTGAGAAGAGATTTGTCCCGGATCTGGTACTAATCATGCTAGACCCCTTCCAGACCCTGCCTTGCAAGCTTATGTAGTTCAAGGACTAATACTTTCCAGCAGGCAAAAAAATAAAGAAATAAAGGGGGTAAATATCTAAAGAAACTGTAGTGCAGCATCAGTGGGAGAGTATAATGGGTAATTTAGTGTTATCACCTGAGTAGATAACATAAATTAACCTCTGTAAAGAGTTTCAAAGCTGATGTTTTAAGTGTTAGCCCTTTGTCAGAGTGAATTGGAAAAAATAAAGGCTTATGCTGAAGGGTTAATCACTGTTACCTTTGGCTTTTTGCACTGAGTTTACAATAGTTAGAATTGTTCATCTCTTGTAATTGTAATTGATAAATTTTGTTTATTATTAGAGACCTTGGAAAAAGTAGTGGCATGGAAACAACTTCATAGATATATTTGACCCTAAAATCTAATAAGCACTAACTTTTGTCACTCCAGGAAGATCTACCAATGTTAAATTTAGAACTTTTGGTGAATAAATCTTCAGTCTGATTGGCTCACTTGAAATTCCCTATAAAATGAACCAAATCTCATTGTTCTCACAAGGCATAACATTACATATTTTATCACAATAAATAATACAACAGACAAATGTTTGAGAACCAGTATGAATGGGAATTATAGTTTATGAATATCTCTAAAGACTTCTAAAGATATTCACCCAAGTGAGATTTTGATTGCAGTAGTAATTCTATTCCTACTAAGGCCTTACAAGGGTGATTAAGTATGTGTACAGTGAATAGAGATATGTCCAGAAATGCACGCAGCAATGAAAATAACGGAAAATCATCAAATCCGCCAAGCTGATTGCACTTTGAGGAATTTGACTAAAATCCATCAAAATCATCAAATCCACTAAGCTGATGTTGCTTTGACAAATTTTCCTAAATTCACCAAAATTGTCAAATCCATGAACATTCACTCAGTTTGACCATTTTTTGTCAAATGTGCCATTTTTGTTACTGTGAGCATTTCTGAACATAAAACTGGAGATAAGTGAGTGAGTAGAAAATGAGAAATGGTAAAGCTTGACCTTAGTTGTCAAAGAAAGATAGAGGTCACTCATTTGGTAACTAGTATGGGCCAAGGAAAAAAATCTTAGTTCCACATGGATGACAGTGCAAATGCAGTATGTTGCCATTTGTAACCATCAGAGAATAGTTACTGCTGATTGGAAGTATAAGAGGCTCCAGAGGGTTAGGTAGACTTTGTAGCTCTGAAAATTTTGATTTCATCATTCGAAGATTTTTGCTCTCATTAATTGTTGTAAAGTGATGAAAATTATGATCTGCACAACATATGTATGTAGAAGCTACAACAGGATGCAAAACAACATTCAAACCTTGTTATTTCCAGTCACTCTTTCAGTTTCCCTTTCTATTTCATCACAAATTTCACTGAAGTCACTTATTACCTAAAGAGATGAAACAATAGGCAATTTTAAGTAAATTTACACCTTTGACATGAAAGAAGCATGAAAACGTGGTTTGGGTCAGACCTTGTGTACATAACTTGCCCTTCATGTCTGGTAACTGCACTGACATTATTCTTAAACTTTTCAGTCCAAACAGAATATCAAACCTACTCTTTCTTTCAGGTGAAGGAACTTTCCCCATTCCTCTGGATCTTCATTGTCCTTTTCTGTTTCTTCACCTTCATCATCTGAAAAATCTGTCATGTATCAAATTGAAAGAGCGTTCTTTAATTAAGGACATAGATTTGATAGAAAATCAACATAAAAAAGAGCTTTTAAAACACTTTAATTTTTTGAGTGCATTGGTGTTGTTCCTTAGAAAAATGGATTATAATACCTCAGCAAAGAGACAATTGACAAGGGAACTTAGCTTATGCCAAGCTCTTGGTCAGAGGAGATGAGTGAAAAAGAGAGCAGGCAAAGTTAGAGGAGGTCTGAGAGGTCCCACCTTGCTTTCCTCTGCCTTCCTCTCTATTTTACTTTTCCCCACAAATTGAGAGGTCAAGAAAAACATACTGGACTAGCATTTCCCTTGAACCCTTGAAAGTGTCCTTGACAAGTACTCTTGTCTGGTGATCTTATCATTAGTGAATTGACAAGTCTTCTTTTAGGACGAGGAAAATTGATAATGAAGAAAAAAAAACTTCATGTTTCCATCAACGCTGACAGAAAACTTGTCAAGCAAAATGTTTCAAGGAGATTTTGTTAGTAATTAATAACCATACTTACATGCTTCCCCGTCCTCATCATCATCTTCACCAACTTTTGGCTTCTCTTCTTTGGCTGACTTCTTGGAAGCTGTGGTCTTATTCTTTGGTGGAGTGTGAACTAACTGAAGAATCAATGGTCTACGAGTGACGACACCAGATCCTTAAATGGTATGAATACAAAAAATTATGGTCAGAGAACAGGTTAAATGGATAAATGTACAGTGAGGTGAAGCTTAAGACAATGCTAGCCAGCAATCCCCTCCCTCCTACCTCCAATGAGGGATAGTCTCATGGATTTGTACCACTACCATCTAAGTCAAAACCCATTTTTTTTTTTTGCTTTACTTTAACATGTAGTCATTGTTTCAGCATTCTGCTTCCATGGTTCCCTTCTCTCTTAGTAAATATTGGAATATTCTTATTGGTTTACTCAAGAATACATTGTTGCTGTCACTAGTGGTTGCTTTTCACAAGGGTGTCATGGCAATAGCCCAAAACAGTATTAGGTCCCACTGTGTTTCAGTCAAGTTCCCACACTCATCTGTTGGTGCTGAGTTAATTAACCCTTCAACTCCCAAGATCTGATTGGTAATTCTCCCCTCTAGCTGCTATGCATTTCTTTGTAAATTAGTTATGAGAATTTAGTGTTAGATCGAGATAACAACTTCTACCTGATATATTTGAGTTTTCTCAATACCTGTTTGCAGGATAATGTATGGATATTATAAGGAGAAGTTCCATGTTAATCACTTCTGGGAGTTAAAGAATTACCCTAGCAAACAAATTTATACTACCAAACTACATTTGCTGTCAGATTGATATTTCAGTTTGTCTTTATTGTTCATATTCCCATGCTCATAAAAACAACTTTCACTTACAAACCAATTAACCCTTCAACTCCCAGATCAAATTTGCAGTTCTCCTTACTGTCAACCATACACTTCTTTTAATGTTAGTTCAGGGAATTTAGTATTGGATCAACTAATTTTCCCCCAATTGATATTTTTCTTTATTCTCATCACTTATCTGGTTGATATTTTATTGATGTTGTAAGGAGAAATTCTGTCTTGGTCACTCAAGGGAGTGAAAGGGTTAACAAAATTATATTACATGAATTTACCTCTTGGTAAGAAATCTCTTCCTACCAGGTTTTCAAGGACAGAACTTTTGCCACTGCTCTGTAATTTAAGGATCATAATGGTAAACACACAGTGTTATTTAATTAAAGCTTTCTCTAACATCAAAGATACACTCTTAAAAGTGTTCCACACACAAAGTATTAAAATACAACTTTTTTTTAAAGCAGCACTTAACACATGTAGTGGAGGTTGTCCTTAGTGACTCCTTTTTTTATTGCGCTGATTCAGTAAGATACTCCCACCCTAAAAAAGTTATTTAAAAGTGTATCTTTTTTAGATATTGACGTCTTAATTGCAACAATTCTTGCACAGTATTGATTTTTAAGCTTACTATGTTATTCAGAACATGCAGTAATCACGATGAATTTTGGTTCACTACATGCTTGCTTGCTTGTCTGGGCTTAGAAGACAAGATTGGGCGAATATAAGCTCTGCATACAATGCCGTTCATAGTTGATACAAATAAACAGTCTTATACGTACAAGACTGTCTCTATGAAGAGATTGTTTTGAACAAGTTACCGAAATAATTTTCTAACACTTGTATCACATATCAAACTTGTTCCAAAATTAAATGGACATGTGTCTAAACTCGTGAAATTTAATTTGAAATGTAGCGACAAAAAAAAGAATACCTTCACTAAAATTATCTTCACGTAATATCAATCATATTGATGAAATAAAAACATCTTTGCTTTCGATTTGCCGCCAGGTTTCGCAATCTCGGCACATAATTTAACAACGAAACTTATTCACGGGTTAAATCAAAAAGCGAAAATGAACGGAAAAAACCATTAAGTATATGTACGATTTGGAGAAAATATCAACTGCTGAGATTTTTCTCGAACAAGTGATCAAAAATTGAAATTAATTCTGCGATCTCACGTACAAATCTCTCTCCTAGAATTGTACAAACCTGGGCACCAACTACCACAATCTGAGGAAGTTGAATAGCTTCTGATCCCACAGTATTAAACACATCTTGAAGTTTGTTAATAACTGGAATAAGCTGATCCATCTCCTTGTGGAGAAATACCGATAATATTGCGACCTGTGACTGCCGGTTCAAAAGTTTTCAACTGTTTTCCTAATTTTAGACGTCGCCTTTCGTGAACTGAGCATCTATTTTTACAGAAAACCGCTGTCTAGTAAACATTCTCTGGGCACAACTTCCGGTTCAGTGACATTCGTCTCACTTGACCGTTACAACGAATGAAGCAGTTTAATTAAAGACCGCAGTGGCTTATAACGTCTGTATCAAACCTATGAATATAAATAAACGAAGAGACGAACGGACAGACAATTGAATGGTAAAAAATAGGGCGTGTAGGGGATGGTGATTGCCTCTCGCTTTGTTTTTTTTGTTATTTTACACTATCAGGAGCCCATTACTTGACACTATTCAAAAATATCTTACCAACAAAGGTACGAAAGGAGAAGGCGCACTCCTAAAAAAGGCTTTTATCATCTGTACTCCAAATTTACCTGGGTAAAAAGATGGTGGGAAGGTCGCGAAACTGAGAGAAGTCTTCCCCTCCCTCCCTCCCCCCATTTTATTTGTGTATCAATATTTTGAGGAATTTCGAAGATCAACAGATCGAGCACGTTGCGTACTCTACAAGGTAAAGGAACCGCTGAAGTCATTTTTAAAAACCATCATCTTTGTTTGTTGTCATTCAAACCTTTCTTTAGCAAAATAATCTTTTTCTTTACAAAATAGACTTATATGCCTCCCAACTGCCTTATATGCCTTTCACAACTATGAAAACGACACGTAATGATATTTAACATTTATATCTTAAAAACTGTCTTACATTTGATATATAAGAATATTTGAATGGTAGAGTTGTGCTTTAATCTTCAATCTTCAATCCATAGGTACGAAATCGTTAAAAAACCTCTATAAACTAATCAATAAATAAATTATCTTCGATAGGTTTCACAGAGCATTTTAAAATGTAGTCAATTTCAAAAAGTATTCCTACTTGAAAGTCACGCTAGATATTTCAGTTTCTCATTTCGTTTCAGGCCTTAATTCTAAAATCATTCATCTTCATATTCATTTCCCAAAGTAGTAGTTTGTTGGCAAAAAAGGCATCTTTACAACTTGAGCGTCAATCCTCTTCTTGTACACCTCTAAATGTAATGCTGTCCCTGGTTTGGATAACGCTGTTGGTACGTAAGCCATTGCAATGTTCTGCTTCAGGCACGGTGATGGACAACCGCTTGTCACGTGACCTAAAAAGTAATAATTAAAAAAAAAGGAATATTCAAGGGCAACACAAAGAATTTGGTTCTGATTGGTTGATGATAAAAATAAAAATAAAAACGGGAACAACAACAATTTCATCAAAGCGAGCAAAAAAACCTATAACAAGCCTAGGATTCTAACATGTGTGCCACTTTTTAATAATAATAATAATGATAATGGTAGCTCAAAAATATGAAGGGAGATCTGATTTCCTCGACTACATCATCACCTGTAACTTTTATGGCGGAAGGATGCTTTAAAGAGAGGAAAGCTCTAGAGAATACAGTGTGGTTAATGGAATAGATCTCGACGATCGGTTCGGTGATTTTTATCGAGTATACAGCGAGTTAAGGGCCTGAAAGGAACTGACATTGTTTACAATTTGCATCTTTCTCGTTTCTCTCCCCTCCCTCCCCTCCCCCCCCCATCCTTTTCCTCCTCCTTCTTCCTGAAATTCAAAACCTGATCCTGACACAATCTATTTTAATCTCCTTAACCCCTTGGCCCTTAAGAGTGACCAGCATTTAACTTCTCCTTTGCTACTGAATCATTCATTAAGATCATGAGAATAAAGAAAATGATCGCTAACCCAAGAACCTTTGATTATTACACGAATTCTCCTTGTCAATACCAAACGACAAGTATAGATAGGTGTATGGAGAATATAGATACTAATGTCAGTGTGTAAAGGGTTAAGATTTACCCAACCGGATTACCAAAATTGATATAACGTTTTTATGCCTAAGAAAAGATGTAATATCGTGTGTTTATAAACTGGATTCAAAATGGACGCAGTTTTTTTACATGTCACCTACCTACTTTGTTACCATCAGCATCTAAAATATTTGCCCCCGCTAAAAAAAAAAAGAAAAGATAAAAAAATATCATTTGGTTGTTTTTAAGCTCGTGACAAGACGAATAACAATTTTTCCTTACCTCAAGACATAACTTAAAATATTCCATCTTTCCTATTCTACTTAATCTTTCCTAGGTAATTTAGTGTTAACAACTAGGTTAAAAACGTAAATTGGCCACCGTAAAGAGTAAAAAAGCAGGCGTTTCAAGCGTTAGCCCTTCGTCAGAGCAATTGGTCTGAAACACTAAATTACCAGCTACACTCGCCCACCGACGCAGCACCACAGTTTCTTTAGAAACTTACCTCCTTTATTCATTAATCTCTCCTACGTTGCTAATTCTGGCAGGATGCGTAAAACAAAGGACACAAGAAAGGGCCTAAGTCACCACAGAGTTCTCTACGCTCTGTGTCATCGCATCAAAGCGCGGAATCCGAAAGTCTGAAAGTCTGAGGTTCGATTTTTCATGGGAACTCAGGTCTCGTCCATTATTTCACGCTCGTGACAAGACAAAACGACATATTTCTTTCGTACTTCCCAGTATTTAGAAATTACATCCAAAATTTCGTATCATTCAGAAAGAAGAGACGCAAAATTTTCTAACTAAAATTTTACCTCTCGCAGGAGGGCCTTTCGACACAAGCCCTACTCTCTTCCTCTTGGTCTTCTCTTTAATCTGTCTGAGGATTATTTCCGCTCCTGGAAAGTCTGCTTGGGCACGTCGTCTTTTCCCTTGAAAAATTTAAAAGCATTATATTCACACATAACCTTTTTCACACCATCAAGGAATATACATCTTAATGCTGTCAAATATTATATTTAGCGTGTGCCCGTAGCCCGTGTGGCTACAACTTTATCAACAGCATATATGAGCGCTTTCCGATTGGGTAATTGGGATTTACCTATTTGGTGAGGATCAATCATAGAGTAAAAGTCGCCACTCTTTAGGATGTGAACGCGCTAGTTACGTATGAAATTATGCGCAACAAGGATAAAAAAACGACACAATTACCCGGCCAGATCGTGGACTCAGACCATTTTTTCAAATGAAACTAACTCACCAATTGTCCACACAAGAACAGCTTCAACAGGCGTGGTGTTTTCATCAATGTCGTTTCCATAGAGACAAAGCCCAGCTTCTAGTCTCAGACTGTCCCTCGGCCCCAGGCCTGCTGGCTTAACATCTGCCTCTTTGCTTTCTAATAATGCTTTCGTCAAATCAACAGCTCTCTCCTTGTCCACTGACAGCTGCGCATAGCGGAAAAATCATTCAAAATTAATAATTGTATTTTTCTATCTGTGATGACTATGGCTTTGTCCGTTTTACGCAGGATAGATCGAAAATACGCAAAAAAGTAACCTGTTTTAGGCACTCCGTCATCGGTGACGAGTGAGGGAGCGGGTAGGCGATAAACGGAAGACGAGATTGTTAGGAACGGGTTTATAATTGGGACAGGAGTCGCGTTACCTCAAACCCATCCTCTCCCGTGTAGCCACAACGCGTAACTCGTACATCTTTGATCCCAAACGCTTCCACTACGCCACCGTGCATGAAAAACATTTTACTAAGATCACTTTGCACACCACTTTGAAGAACTTTGGCAGCTTGAGGTCCTGAAATATATGTACATCCATACTTGATTAATATATAGAATATTTACATTGACTCCGTAATTTGATGACAACTACTTTTTTGACCATCTCAAAATATAAGACCCCATCCACGTTATTGCGATTTTGTCGGAAAACGCTTATTTATTCTGCATTTTTTGCCTATAATTTATTGTTAAACGCTTACAACCGTTCATAAAAAAGGAAATTTTCCAATAGAAAAATATTTCAAGACAGGAGTGTTTTGAAAACGCATCGCTCTTAAAACGCTCCGTTTCTTGTGTGGAAAAGTGAAAACATACACTCTTAGAGACGATGACGAAAAATGCGTTACATACTGTCACTTCCATCTGCGTTTTCGGGTATTCTAGTGTGGACGATAGACGAAAATGCATAAACATGTACGTGATTTTGGATCAATCTGAGTATTTGACCAACTGCGCACCTACGCCTTCCATAAGCCAACAACAATCAACCAATAACAAATAAGGGTTAATGTTGGATTAGGGGAGGGGTAGGTGCGCAGTTACTGAGATACTGAGACTGATGAGTGATTTTTAATGCAAACACAGCAGTGTGGATAGCTGAGAGCAAACCGAAAACGCTACTGTTCATGGAGATATTTTGTTTCCTTTTTTTAGACGAAAGCGAACACTCAATAAAACGCATCGGCGTGTGTGTGTTTTGTTTTGTTTTTTTTTAATGTTCACATAAATAAATTGCAATTTTAAACTGTATACAAACGTCTCTACCTTGTAATGCAACAAGTGCTTTGTCCTCAAGAATTTCAAGCGCAACATCCAAATCATTGCTCACTGCCTTCAGTCTATCCTGTTCAAAAGAATGGTACGCTAGACTGATTAGTAACTACATACTTAAGGTGTACAATGCCCTAGTCGTGTAACTTGAGAGAGGATTATGGTCTTTCAGTAATTAATTCATCAATCAAGTAAGCACCTAATTAACAAAGTAAAAAGCCTTTATACAGGCCCAAGTGGCCCATAGGGCCGGTGCTTAACTTCAGTTTCCTTAGCATGAAGCGGCTAGGAGTATTGCTACTCCCCCCTGGATGGGATGCTAGTCCATCACAGGGTTACCTGCAGCATATTTGCTGATACCCATTTGTACACCTGGGTGAAGAAAAGCACTGTGAGAGTAAAGTGTCTTGCCCAAGAACACAACACAATGACCCCGGACAGGGCTCAAACCTGGACCACTCAATCCAGAGTCAAGTGCACCAGCCATGAGGCCACCATGCCTCCACAATTAACAAAGTGTCCAAGTTCAATATGTCTTCACTCAAGTAAAGAATGACATAAAGACCTTCAGGTAAACCAGGGATTGTTTTTTCTGTATTTTTTCCATACACAGCTGCCGATGGTGTAATAAGCAGGTGTGCTGTAATGCATATCCCAAACACAAGAGCTTACTAACAGGCTAAACAGATGGTGGTCAGAGGTCCTAACTCTTTAACCCTTTAACACCCAAGATCTTATTAGTAATTCTCCTTACTGTCTGCCATACAGTTCTTGTGATATTAGTTTGGAGAATTTAGTAGTGGATCAACTTATAATCCCCTAAATTTTAATTTTTCTCTACTCTCATCACTTGTCTTCTTGATATTGTATTGATTATGTAAGGAGAAATTATGTCTTGGTCACTCATGAGAGTTTAAGGATTAAATCCTAAAAGTGATCACATGAAACTTCTCTCTATCACATCCATAAATTATACAGCAAACAGCTAATGAGAATACTCAAACTTATCAGGTGGTAGTTTTTATCTTGATCTAAAACCAAATTCTTGTAACTAAGTTACCAGGAAATGTGCAGCAGCTAAAGGCAAGAATTAACAATTAGGTCTTAGGAGTTTAAGGGTTAAAGGCAGTGGTAGACCGCTGGTAACTAGCTGGGTAAAACTCCTGGGATAAATATTGTGAAACAATAAAATGATGAAAAAAGGATAAGAAAGATGGTAAATTTTTAGCTATTAAGTAAAGAAATAGTCTTGTCACAAGGTTGGGACAAAGTGAAAAAAAACAGAGTCCCTGTGAGGAATCAAACCTTAGACCTTTGGATTCTGTGCTCCAATATCCTACCAATGAGCCACAGACACTCCATGGTGAGTAAGGCCATTATGGAGTTCATAATGGCCTTGCTCTTGATGCACATTCTCCATACTGTTTTCTATACATTTCCTAAGGTGCTGACAAGGAGAATTTGTTTACCAATCAAGAGCTTCTTTCATTGGTGATTATTTCCTTTAGTCTCATCACCTTACTTATTTGATTCAGGGGTGTTATTGTAAAGAGAAATTAGATGCCAGTCCCTCTTAGGGGACAAGATGTGACTGTGGCCATTACTTCTATGGAAATGTTATTTTACTACATGTAAATCACAAGTTCCATAGTTACCTGAAGATGCTCCAAAACTTTATCTGCACACCCTGCATTGGACACTACATACAAATGTTCAGGTGTTTTGTTTATAATCAAGTCATCAATAATCCCACCATCTTCTGTGGTAAACAGAGAAAGAGTCCCTGTGTAATCTGCAAGTCCTGCAATATCTGCAACTACCAGGCTTTCCAAAAATTTAATTCTGTCACTTCCATGCACTTTAAATTGCAACATGTGGGATACATCAAACAGAGAGGCATGTTGCCGAGTGTGTAAATGTGAAGGTAGTACACCATCTTTATATTGCACTGGCATTGACCAACCGCAGAAAGGGACCATCTTTCCACCAAGCTCCAAATGGAAATCATACAAAGGTGTTTTTCTCAAATTCTCCTGAAAAAAAAAAGCAGGTAGGATAAAATAAGTGCTGCTTCAAACAAAAAAAAGTCTACAAAAGAAGTATGCAACTACTTAATATGCATTGCCATATGCTTCTTTCCTCTCTCTAACCTTTCCCAGTTCCCCCCCCACCCTCCCCTTTAGCTTAAGGAATGGGGGGGGGGTCTTAATGGAACTTGGGGTAGGCAGGTGTTGCACTAAGACATTTAAAATATGACCCTGTCTAAGACAAAATCCATTCACTTAGCAATCTTTTTTAGAACAAAAAGTATGCAAAGTGTAGAATATGAACCTCACAGAGCAACTTCTGAGTACATCCAGACAATATTTCATGGGTAAACTGCCATGGGACAGTTGTATTAACTGCCATACCCCCGACAGTCCCCTTCCATATCCTTCCCCCTCTCACCCCCCCCTCCGCCGCTTGAATGCTGATAAAGTGAGAATTTCCATTGCGATGTCCTTGAAATTTCCAAAAATAAAATTGAAATGCTTTTTACAAAAAACATTAAGTGTAGCTCTCTTAGGTACAGCAGCTGAGCGCAAAAGATGCGCTTACCTCAGAATCTGTTGCAAACGCCCGAGAACCATGCGAAGTCTTCGTTAGCGCGCTGGACATCGGAAGCCGAGTATTCCTTCTGCAGGCTTTACAAAGAAACCTACTTGTAGATAATCGGAAAATAGCACTCATTTTCCAAGATTCTCAATATGTCTACCAAAATATCCTCAGATCGACGAAGAAAAATAACCTCCTCTCCGTAGGTTGTGAAATAATTATCGACCGCGAAGATGCAGATATTGGTCAGCAGTCTCCCTAAGGAGCAGGCGTTGTAATATGTTTATAGCGTCCGTACAATGGACGCCATGATGAAATTCATAAGGTAAAGATGAGGTATTAGAAGATTACTTGAGAACGGAAGCAAAATGCTGTATTTGGAGGACTATGTTGAGTGTAAGGTTTTTTAAGCTTATTTTTATGGTAATATCTTGGCCGTAAATGACTGCTGTGAGTCTTTTTATCCCATAAAAACGCGTTTAAAGTCAACCAAGCCTTCGATCGTTTGTAGCGTTGCTTTTGTTATTTAATGTCGAAATCTTTACGAACCAAGTAGCTGGTTTGATTCTAAAAGTGAAATTTTATCCAAGATGCGTGGCTTAAGCAAAAATCTGTGCTAAATTATGTGATCGTCATCGTAACACGATTGTGTTTAAATCTGTAAACAATGAATAATCACGGACATGCGCAGTAGCTTATCAATAAGCAGTACATCGTGGAACGCATATAGGGCTCTAAGGTGTAATCATGACTGCTTTTTATAAATTTAAGACGAGTGAAAAAAAATTTTCATCATTTTCTGTGGAAAAAGTGTTTTATAATTTTCCCCAATTCTGCTTTCAAAAAATATGTGCACCAATAGTCCCCCCAGCACTGACTTACATGTTACAATTTTTGAGTGATCATTTACTTTTCCAGTCTTGAGGAATTCTTTGTTATCATGCTCCTGCATGCGAAGGGCATGGTGAACATGGCCTCAGAAGTTCCTGTATGGCAGCAATTTTTGTCTTTTATACAATATGGTTGCTACGGTAAAATTTTATAATTTAACTGTGAACCCTTTAACTCCCTTGAGTGACCAAGAGAGAATTTCTCCTTACAATATCAATAAAATATCAACCAGATAAGTGATGAGAATAAAGAAAAACATCAATTTGGGGATAATTAGTTGATCCAATACTAAATTCTCTGAACTAACATTATAGGAATTGTATGGTTGACAGTGACGAGAATTACAAATTTGATCTGGGAGTTAAAGGGGTAATTGTTTCTACTTACAGCAAACCTACACCAATTATTATTGATATCATTGGTTTTCAAAAAACATTATTATAAAGAGAAATTTTATCTGTATTGTTTTGACCATGGGTTAAGAAAAAAAATCTGAGTTCCCTTGGAGGAATTGAAGCCTGGACCCTTCAGACCCTTTGTGCTGCAGTGCATCAGAGCAAGAAATGGAGAGGTCTTAGGTTAGATTCCTTATAGGGCACTCAGATGTTTCTTCTTACCTTAACAGTAACTAAATATAAAAAAATCTATTTTCTCTGCCTTCATACTGAAAATTGACCATTTATCTTATTCCAATTTTTTACACACTGTTACGCTGTTATCTAAGGTATGAGATTATCCTAGTGTACTGTAAATGACCTTGTGATGGTTGTCACCATCTGTTGTTATTGCATTTCCATGAAGTTAACATAAAATGTTTGTTAATTTTTAAAGTGATTGAGCAGCTGCCAGTTGAGCTGCGAGACAGATTCACAGACATGAGGGAAATGGATCTACAGGTTCAGAGTGAGTCATGGCTTGGGAAGCACTTTTACATTATTAAACTTTTTAACGTACTCAAATAATGTTTTTATGTTACACTTTAATTGCTTTATTAACTAGATGCTCCACTAGGTTTTTTTGGGAAGTTTCATTGAGTGTTAAAATTGATCCATGATTGTACTGGTTTCACATGTTTTTCTTGCTGATTGGTTCTGATAACTCTTACCATACTTACAATTAGAAGCTTTATCTTAAATAATCACATTGTCTTGGCTTGGATTTTCTTGAGCATTAAGTGGGTTACTTGTTTTAACTTTCTGCTCCCTGTAACCTTGGTTCTGACTAGGCATTGTAAATTATATTGGTTTTTGTTTGACAAAACTTAATCAGTGTGCTCTAACTAAAGTAATGTATTGAGGTTTCAAGCATTAGCCCTTTTTTTTTTTGCTTTGACGAAGGGCTAATGCTTGAAATGTCAGCTTTAAAACTCTATGGTGGCCAATTTATGTTATCAACTGGTTGATGATACTAAATTACCCTGTTATACTCTCCCACTGATGCAGCATTTCAGTTTCTTTAGAAACTTACCCCCTTTAAATTACAGGTATTGCTTGATTTGATTAATGCAGACCTGACTGATGTGGCATAATCTCCAACACCTTCCCATGCACAATTGAATAGTCACTCTCATTGTCACCAATTGATTTTTTAACATTTTTTTCTAATTACAGACAGAATAGATGACATGGACATCAGAGTGAAGCAGTTTTTCATGAACTGCCGAAAAGCAAAGCCAGAATGGAAAGAACAACAGTACAAACAAATCAGAGATGTAAGTTACAATCATTAATAAAGAATTATTTGTGTGCCAAAAAGATTTCAATTTTTTTGTACTCAGAATAGTTTTCCAATGCATGCAAAGTATGGAACTGGAGACACACCACAGGAAATGTGTTAAGTGGCTTCTAAGAGAAACTCAGGCTATATTTCAGAGTTAAGAGTTGATGTTTCCAAGTTTTGATTCAAGGATTTAAATCCTTATGTTTGTTTTCACTTTTAGATGAAGGATTAGGTGATGCCTGGGGTCAGCTGGAAATGAAATCACATTTTATCTCTGATCTGTAGAATTTCCATGTCATTGAAAGGCACAGTCAAATAGTGATAGTTCCCCTTCTTGGGGTTTTTTGGGAGTTTTTCTTTAAACTTATCTTTGTTTGTTTGTTTGTTTTTTCTTTATTTAAGGAGTATCAGAAGGCTGTTGAGGATGCTGAAGAAAAAGTTAGCATAGCAACACAGACTTATGATCTGGTATGGTAACACAGCTAGATTATTATACTAATTCAATTATTTTCATTGCATAATTTTTGTTGCTGCTGCTGTTGTTGTTACTGTAGTTTCTTAGAATGGGCATATAGATATTACATTGTAATTTTCATTAGCATGCATACAGTGCTGTGTGTAAACAAGCATCAAGTTTAACCTGTGGCTTCCTTTTTTATATTTGCTAAGGTGGACAGACACTTAAGAAAATTAGATCAAGAGCTGTCCAAGTTCAAAATGGAATTAGAAGCAGATAATGCCGGTATTACAGAGGTTTTAGAGCAAAGTAAGTAAAGTTCAGTCCAGTGTAAGGGAACATAAATTTGTTATTTTGAAACAGAGGGGTTTTCAGTATCTAAGTGGAAACATTAGTTAATTAATACTCTGTAGAGGTACATGTAGCCAGCAATGTACATGTAGCTTAATTTTGGATACATTTTTTTTTCTATAGGATCTCTGAGACTAGATGAACCTATTAATCCACCCTCTCCTGCAAGGAGTAACCACATACATGGAACATTGCAATTAACTGGGCATAGTAAGTTTATCAAATGAACCATACAACTCTGTATATGCAATCCCATAGAAAACTTAAATGAAAGCTGAGGTGCAGAGAGCTGGACCAGTCAACATGAGTTGGAATTTGTCAGACAAACTGTGATGGACCAGAGTCCTATCCCAGAGAAGTAGCTCCATACACATGGTTGCCTCATGCAACAGAAACAGGGGTTAGTTATGAACAGCAGCTATGCTTGTCAATTCTCAGACTTAAATCCTTTCTTGTACTTTTCCATTGCAGAAAGGAAAGCTCCCGACAGTCTCTCTACTGATTTGGTCAATGGCGATCACTTGTCCATCCCAGGGATGCATGACTATGCCTATGGTTCCCTTGGAACCTACAATCAGATGTCGCCATCACCAAAATCAGTTGCTCCTCAGTCTCCTTCATCTGCTCCAAGATCTTACACCTTAGGTGAGCAAACCCAGCTTACAGCAGTGTGAGAACCTTTACACCTTAACATTAGTATGTATATTCTCCTTACCCTTCTCTATAAATTTCCTTTGGTACTGTCTGGGAGAATTTGTTTATCAATCAAGATTTTTAGTTTATGATCATTTCCTTTATTCTCGTGACCTTACTGTGTGATTTAGAGGTGCTATTGTAGGGAGAAATTAGATGCTAATCACTCTCAGGGATCAAAGGGTTAACCTTTTCATCCCTGAGATCTAGATATGAATTTGCTGCCACACATTTCTTACAATTTTAAGAGAGATAATTTTTTGTTAAATTAAACAGTGTCCTCTCCTTAGTATATTTCTTTTCGCCACCTTTCTGCTGAAAAATCTATTGATATGGAAATTCCATTGTAATCCCACCTGGAAGTGAGAGGATTAATCCTTCAACTCCCAGAAGTGATTGACATACAAATTCTCCCCAAAATATCCCTACATTATCCAGCAAACAGGTAATGAGAATACTCACACTTATCAGAAAGAAGTTTTTATCTTGATCTAACACCAAATTCTCCTAACTAATTTACAAGGAAATGTGTGGCAGCTGGAGATGAGAATTAACAATCAGATCAGAGAGTTAAACAACGTGTATATCATAAACTGAATTACACACGCATTTTGATTGGCTCTCTCTAATGATCTATGGGAGAACAGAGACATTGATGACGTCTTTATTATGGCAAAAATATAGATTTTATTTTGCCATGGGTCTGTTCAGGAATATATCACAGATGACACCAAAACGTGATTAGAACACCAGTGACACATTTTTGTTCTCACCACATTTTGTTGAGGTTTAAGGGTGAACAAGGCTGGAAAACTTCATGAAAGCACACTGTATTTATTTATACCTATATTTTTTTCCTTTCTTCAGGTTCAGTCGGAGCAGGATCAGCTGCAGTTGCAGTTGCTGCTGCGCAGGCAGTTACAACGACGTTGCAGATGCAGCCTGGTAGAAGAGCTAGTGGAGCCTTGAAACCGCCTTATGCTGCAGCCTTGGGTGGGTGTACTGATTTCTGGAGTCTGCTGTTTTCCTGAACAGGCACCTTTGCCATTCGTTCAAAATTTCACGTTTTGTCACGAGGAAGCTGACATAATTTTTAT